AAAAACTCTTTAGCCCCAGGCCTGTCGGAACAGCCAGGTTTTAAGGGCTTTGCGGAAGGCCTGGAGGGTGGTGAGGGTTCGAATCCCCATGGGGAATGCTATATGTGCATATTGATTACTTAATTAAATGCTGGTTCTACTAGCAATTTGGGTCTGAGCCTTGTAAGATTTTAAACACCCTAATGACAAAGCGGATTGGGCTTAAAAGATGAGCCAAAGAACCTGTTTGAACAAAAAAGCTATGTGGAGTTTTCAAGGGCTCATCACAAATACTGTTGCATTTTATATTTGGGATCTTCTTCCATGTGAAGGAACATTTTGCATATCTATACTTCACGGTTATCAGCACGAGTCAAGATTTTTTAGTATTCATAAATCTGGTTTATCAGCCAAAGAACTTCCTATAAAAAGATCTTCCTTGCAATAAAAGTTATGGATGTCCAAGATCAATGACCAATTCAGAAGGAACCCTGGCACCAAACTGAATTCTTAATGGAGATTTCAGCCACATGCCTATAAATCTTGAAGTACAACTACTGCAATCTTTTTCACATTTACAGGTAGTTCTCAAATTGCAACCAGAATCGAGTCCAGAATTACAATCATAAATTGTCATTGAGTGGGTTGTCATAGGACCATGTCCAATTATACAATCTTATTTGCTGTAGCTGTTAAACTAACATTGCAGGTCATTAAGTGAACGCATTTTCCCCAATGAACATTTTCAGCCAGAAACTAGAAATAATACTAGAAACTGACAAAAAAAGTCATTGACTCTTAACATGCTGTAAATGGCCATAAATGAAAGCCAATTGCCAAGTGTCTAAAGTGGGATCACATGATGGGATGCGTGTAGACCATTGGTACTTCAAAATTGAGCCATTAGGCTCTGGGACGGTCTGTTGTGACTTCAACTAGTAGCTAAGTGAGTGGTTATTAAGTAAAGGCTGCCTGTAATTTGTTTCTTGCATCCAGTTATTCACAGCTATTTCTCCATGAAATTGCCTCTATATGTACCTTATTCTGGAACGCTGGCAGCATGACATGTTTTAAAAAAATATTGAGGTGAAAAAATAACCCATCTTTTCCTAATATCTTTTAATACAATGATTTGCTAAAGTTCTAAATCTGCTTTGAACCCTAGCCCTTTAAAATAGTGTAAATAAAAATCCAGGCAGAAAGTAATACGCAACTATTTAGGTGTGCTAATCTCCAACCACCTTGAATCAATTGGCAGATTGAAAAAGGATAGTAAACTTCTTCAAAGTAGAACAAAGACAATTTATACATGTGGCTTTATCCATTATATTTGGCTTAATGGTATCAATAGTATTGAATTTTATATGAAAAGTATACGTGAAATAGAGCTAAATATTTTTCCAAATCTAGCAGCATTCATTTGTAAAATAATGTAGGAATCTTTTCTATTTAATACTGAATATATTGTGTTTTCCATAAAATATTTGTTCCTTTGCTCTATAGCATCAGAATATCTGAAACCGCTATTAACCATGCTTTTTTTTTTGGTCCTGTTCCAGATTCCTGAAATCAGAATTGATGTTATTTTGAATATTTTCCTTCTTTAATTATAGGTTTATGAAGAAAAAGACTACAGGAAGGTTCGATTTGTTGGGCGACAGAAAGAGGTAAAATCTGAGTCAGAAATGTTTCCTGTGAATCTGTAGTTTCTCCAGGTATTGATGAAATGTTAAATCACTTGGTTGTAAAATGTCATTGTCTTGTGAGCAAACAGTTGATGACTTAATCAATAAACCTATTAGTTAGCCCATTTCATTCCCTCAATTGACAGTAGGTTTCCATGTGATACAGTTGAAAGAATTTATAACTTATGGGTAAGCCCACTTAAAAAACTTTGTCATCAATGTAAAACACCCTTGTGCTATTCATATAATTCAGATTGGTTATTTTAACACAAATACAATGTATACAAGATATATCTAAAATAATCTGGCAAAGTTAATTGGCATTTTATTGAAACTCGATTGATTTCTTTCCTTCTTATGTTATATATGCTAATAATCATCTCATTGATGATGACTCCTGATAACTAAAAAAAAAAGGTGAAACATAAATTTGTTACTGAAGGCAGCCTATCAATTACTACTCTGTATTAGAATGTTGTGATTGACTACTTGTATCACTACTGCTAAACAAGGTGTATTGCTTGAATTGTTACATAATGAAACATCTTTCTATTTCGCTGTTGTAGGTGAATGAAAACTTTGCAATTGATTTAATTGCTGAACAACCTGTGAGTGAAGTCGAAACTAGAGTTGTATGGTGTGATGGTGGTAGAGGAGCTTTGGGCCATCCTAAAGTGTACATAAATTTGGTAATGTAATTACCATTGTAATTCAATTGTCCATGTTCAGTGTTATTATCATCATGTTTACAAAAATATGTGCAGGCTCGTAAGAAATTCAGCTATTGTTCTACTTATAAGTGAAAAAAATATATTGATAATCCGTAGTTATGGTTGCGTTCTGTTTTGTGGGTCACTAGAAGTATGTCTCTTTCCAATTATTGTTTAAGTGTAATCCATTGTTCATTATCCATTTTGTATTAACCCATATTCATATCTGTTTTTATTCTCATTATTTTGCTACCTGCAGGAATTTATATGTTGAGGTTTTTTTAATGGAATGTCTTCTGGACTGCAATGGTCCTCAGACTCTAGTCTAGGAGTCCCCATGACCCATTCAGGGGATTTGCGAAATCAAATAATATTTTTTAAATTTCTCAATTGGAATTTGTAGTATTATATATATATCAGTAGATATAACGTACATAAACCAAAGCTGTTTGGGATTCTCAATCATGTAAAGAGGCCTGACATCAAAATGTTTGAGAACTGCTGTTCAAGTGGGTTGCTTTATTTCAATGGCGTATGTTATGAAATTGGCTAGCAAATAAAAAAAAAAAATCGTTAGTCCTCAATTTACCACCAGTCATTTCATGACAATTCAAAGTTGTGATGACATCAAAAAGGGTGTTTTACGGCCTTAAAGAACCATTATAAAACACCTCCCCTCCATGATCACGTGACTGCATTTACAACTGGTTGCCAAATGCCTTGCGATCATGGCATCACTATTTACAATCTTCTTTGCTGGCTTCCCCAAAAGGTCAGTGGGGAAGCAGACAGAGAAGGTTATAAGCTGCTGTTGCATTTCAAGAAACTACATTACATTGCAGAGGGCTGACCTAAAGAGCTGCCTGCTAAGTGGAGCTCACCTCCCCTCTCCCCTAAATGAGAAATAATTTTTTCATTTGACAGGAAGTTTATATGAACATAGGAATGTGCAGAAATGATAAAATTGTATTTTATTTTCACCATTTATATTTGCAGGACAAAGATACGAAAACAGGAACATGTGGCTACTGTGGACTTCAGTTTAAGCAGAAGCATCATCACTGATATGTATCTTTTTGGCTATGAACTTCTTTTTTCGTTATAGAATAAAATATATATATATAAAAGCCATTGTGGATACCTGTTCTTAATTCCATATTTTACCCTGAAATAGAGTGTAACAGATGTAGAATTCTTTATTTCATCCTTAACTGTTGAAAGATATTGATATAAAATTAGAACTATCAATTGAAAAGAGCCTACAGATCATGTCCTTATATCCAGTCACTTACAGTAGTTCAGATTTATAACTAAACTACAGTTATATAATGATCTTGAAGATTACACTTTCTTTTCTTCACTTCTCTCAGCTGAGAGTTCAAAAGCTTGATGATGAATTTTGTAGTGATTTTGTAGTAATTCGCCATGAGCAAAGAGGTGGCAATATAAATTCAATAAATAAGCCTGTTCCACTTGATCAAGTAGGGAAGTATGCCGCAGACCTCTCAGTCAAAGAATTTCAACTGGTGAGGTTTATGAAGAGAGCCTTCTATAGGGGAGCTCCTACTTTCTTTGCCTTCCACAACGGGATCTAAACTTGGTTCTGAGGCCTCACTTAGGCCTCCTCCGGGTTCCGTCTACCAGCCAATGTCATCTGGCCACACCCCGGGGGAGGGCCTTCTCTGTGGCGGCTCCGGCCCTTTGGAACGAGCTCCCCGCAGAGATTCGG